TGAATAGCCTCTTCATCCTCCTGAACTAGCAGGTACAGTCTCCCTTCTTCATAGCAATCATATGCCCAGTCAGCCAGTATCATTTGGTTTTCATCCTCTGAATCTTGCTCAAAACTCTTCCTACAACAAATGAGCTCTAGCAGCAGAATCCCGAAGCTGTAAACGTCAACCTTGATTGTGACAGGCTTGTTCTTGAACCACTCAGGGGCAACATATCCTTTTGTTCCCCTAATTGCTGTAACAGTTCGAGTCTGGCCTGTCTTCAAAAGTTTTGCTAATCCAAAGTCAGAAATTCTTGCTGTCAATGAGTCATCTAGTAGAATATTTTGAGGCTTGATGTCACAGTGTATGATCTGGTTGCTGCACTCCTCATGTAAATAAACAAGCCCTCGTGCAGTTCCAAAAGCAATTTGAGCTCTTTGATACCAATTGGGCCTTAAATTTCCAAAAAGGTAAGATGCTAAAGATCCATTACTCATGTATTCATACACCAAAAGCCGATGTTGTCCCTCATTGCAGAATCCTAGCAGCTGAACTAGATTCTTGTGATTTGTCTTGCTAATTGCACTTATTTCTGCTTGAAACTCCAGCTCGCTTTCTGTCATCATCTTGTCCAATTTTTTTATGGCGACCATATTCTTGTTACCAATGTCAATAACTCCTCTGTAAACTGTTGAACAAGCACCTTTTCCAAGTTCTTCTTTGAATTTATTTGTAGCTTCCTCAAGCTCCTTGTATGTGAAGCTTCGCAAACTTGTGCCTTGGTTAGCTCTGGAAGGTTGAAGCATCCTTCTTTTCCAATAACACAAGCGTGAAACAAGCCAAAGAGTAGCAATCAACAGAACAAGGTCCAAAAATGATGAGCCACTTAAGAGCATAGTTAGAGTAAGAATTAGAGTTGACCTGTCCTCCTTATTTGAACCAAAGGTTGAACCCTCTCTTGAACGCCCGTCAATCGAACCCTCCCTTGATCCTTTGTCAGGAGATTTGTATGTTGAATTTTCTTTCCTTATTTTGATCAATGTTTTTCCACCAAGGTTAGGATCCATTCTCCCATTAGAGAGAGGAAATTTCTTCATTGTACATTCACCATCTTTAAAGACTGCAAGAGAACAAAAACAATCAGTCAAGCAGGATTGCCTACACCAATCCTCAGTAACGTCTTTAAAATATCCATAATCTGTTCCTGGCCAATCCATGTTGAGCTTATCCCTGAATTCAAAATTATCTGCATCTTGGTTTCCATTGCAATCTTGTGAGATGAAATCCTGTTTGCACCCTCTCATCTTATCATCTGGATCAAAGAATGAGTATCCAGGTGGGCACTCGCATCTAGGCCTCTGATCATCTCCAAGACTACAGTAGCTGTTGAACCCGCAAGGACCACTACTTTGTAATTCCGTAAGTCTTACGCAGATATTTCCAGGTTCAAAGTGCTGCATGGACCAGTTCATAGGACTACTAGCAGTAGCATCGTTGATCCTTGGATAGACATAATGCCTGAAGACCCCATCATATTCTAGGATTGCTCGCTGGTAGTAGTCCCTAGATGATGAAGCTCCATTTGATGTCATAAAGTAGAGTGTGCTTCCATTTTGATCTTCTAGGTAGAGATAGCCAGACTTGTTGAAGACAAACTGGAAGCCTTTGTTTACAGTCATGGTTGCCCAATAAGTACTGGTCCCTGTATCCAGTGGGAAGTTTGTGCCATAGAGTAGAAGATTTCCATCCAATTGCATCTGAAAAGTAAATTTTCCCCTTGAATAATTCATCTCTGCATAACGGGAGAAAAGATGTGTGCCTTTTTTCATTATTTGTGTAGGTACTATTGTGTCAGTTGGCAGATTAAAACTCTCCCACAAGAAGATGGAGTCCTGGTTCGCCAGCACAAAGTTTCCTGTGTCGAGCATGGCTGCATATGAAACAACACCGGAGTCAGTCAATTGAGCTTCCCATACTTTCTCACCTCGCTCGTCAAAGAGTCTGAACTGGCCATCTTTTGAAAGTTGAATCTTGGATCCTTCTTGCACCAGCTTTTCACCATTAATGGGTGGCGACCAAATAATGGTTTTTTCAGGTATTTTGTCGAACCATATGGCAAGCAAGAACTCACCTGCTCTTATTTGTTGGAATCCAAATGCGAAATCACCAGATGGAGATTTCCAGGAAGAATTTATGTTGAGTGCCGCATATAATGGGGAGTCCAACGTTATATTCTGATACGTTTGAGCTACTACATAAACTGGCAGTAGGAAAAGTAGAATGAGATGGTTAGAATATGGAGAAGAAAAGGCCATGAAAACAGGTACTATTTCTTCTGGGTGATAGATCAAGGCTCTTACTAAAGGTAAAAATATAGCAAAAGAAAAAGTAGCAGGTACGAAAATTCAGGTCTTTGAAACGACTTTTTAAAGCTAGGACTTTGAAGTTTGAATGGTGTTCGCCCCTATTCTTTACAGCTGACTGATACGGATTCAGCGATCCTAGACTCTTCATTTGCGTATCCTGAGGGACTGAAGTGGGCTCAGATTTCCACAACTTGTTTCTACAAAAAATGAAAGAATAGATTGGTCAAAGTGTTGGATTTCAAAGAGGGTCTGAACTTTCTACCAAAAAAAAAAAAGAGGGCCTGAACTGGGAGATTTTTCTCATGAAAGGGTTGATTATGTTGATATCTAACCATTAAACAAAATGCCGTCATCAATACGGAAAGCGCGTATATCAAGGCTGATTAGACCTAGAAGACTTGGGAAATATCATATTTTCTGTTGACTGGGCAAGCACTCCGTATAAGTATATATCTTAATTTTAATTATATATAAAATTATTTTTTAAATAAATATTCATTAAACTTTTAAAAAATATCAATACATAGATATTAAATTTTAAAAAAATTCTTAATGAATACTCGAT